TGACCTCTGTCATTGATAAAGTGAAATCTGACTAACCTTGAGTCTAGGTTTTAGACAGTATATTTTTTGACCTCTGTCATTGATAAAGTGAAATCTGACTAACCTTGAGTCTAGGTTTTAGACAGTATATTTTGTGACCTCTGTCATTGATAAAGTGAAATCTGACTAACCTTGAGTCTAGGTTTTAGACTGTACATTTGTGACCTCTGTCATTGATAAAGTAAAATCTGACTAACCTTGAGTCTAGGTTTTAGACAGTACATGTGGTGACCTCTGTCACACATATCACAAAGTAACATCTGTTCTGCATCACCCTTCCTACGACAAATTCGACAACGGGCATGGAGTGCAGACTTGGACCAGGCTATGCTCTTCTCTAGGGTAGCCATGTGAAGAAAGATTTGAGAGAGACTGGTGGAGTACAGCAAGGAATCCTCCCATCGCTCCAACAGGTATCGTCCCTGGGTCTTCACATTTTCCTCCTCCTCTCCTAAACCAATAGAAATGAAACTGGTTGTCTTATGGTGCTTACCAAAAGTAGCAAGCTACCATCATGTCAAGTCTTGTGTCTGATGTCTTTCTTTTGCTTATACTGTTAAAGTGATCCTACACATTTTTTGTCAATTATACAAAAACGTTTTGCAATGCTACATATATCTATACCTGCCCTAGGTGTCATTGCCTACTGTAATTATGATTTTCTAATTTTAGACCCAAACTCTGAACTACTGTTAACACAATCTTTGCAGAACATATTTTGTAAAATAGAAGTTTTTGTTCAAGTATTTACTCCCTCTGTTATCAGTTATATAAAATATATTTTAGTGCTATGGCTATATTCCCTATCGAGTATACATGTACTACAATGTATCACTTTTTATTAATGCAAAAACGCTCCCACTTCAACATTATATACTTTGAAATGTGTACTGTATTAACATTGCTAACGTAATTTGAATGATCATTTTTTTCAGTTTAGTTGATACCAACCATCACTCTCCTCTTCTTCTTCCTTCTTTTTCTTCTTTTGCTGCTTTAGTTTTTGTTTTTCAGCATTCTCACCTAAACCGATGAAATTATGAAATAGTGTGTAAGGATTGAAGATTGTTTTTATGTGCATCCTATGTAATTGGAAAGCCGACAACCATCACAGTGAGGAAAACACCAAAAATAAGTACAAACAAAAATATACAGAAATTGTAGCACACTTACCTAGAGGTGGAGTCATGTACTTGGGTTCAACAGCTTTCTCTATCTGTAACAATGCCTTTGCCAGGTCTTTGACAGTGGACTCAATAGAGCCCTCAGAACTTACAGACGAAGAGTCATCATCTTTCTCCCTTAAAAAGAACAGCAGAATTTACCTTATGAAAACAAAAATACTGAGGTTTATATGGGACCTATCATATTCCATTTTTGTGTTTAATAATGGTGTTTCAGGTTCAATTGAATACCATCGTATACAGTTTTGAATAGATATTGTCAAGCTCAGTTCAGAGTAAATTGTATTTTTAAGTAAGTCACAATACATACTTTTCTTCAATCTTGTCATCAAATTTAATGAAAACAGGATCATTTGATTGGGGGTCGTAGCTTCCATGTTCTATAGCATCCCTCCACACAAACCGGTCTTTAACCTATTAAAAATTACCATTAATAGATTTTACAAAAGAAAAAAAAGATCAACTGAAAATTTAATTTTACACAGGCACAAGATTCTTTTATTTTACATAGATAATACAAGTGTTTTTATTGTATGATATACTCAGGGTGCTACACATATACAGTGCATATACAGCACAAAGAGCTAAACAGCGAGATTAAGCTTAAGGGGCAAAACAAAAAATCATAGTTCATGATCATGACCTATATGCTTCAATAATTTATTTCCCAGTGCTTTCCATAACAACATAGTGAGCAGTGACTCGCAGATATATCCCGATTTCAATAGGGAAAATGTGACCTTTGACCTTTAACCTTGACTAACGACCACCAATATGTAATCAAAAGGTTCAGGAAATAACTTGTACACAACTGCAATTTTTTACTACAGATGAATGAGCTGACAAAGCAATTACTGTTTACTTCTACTATAAAGTTGGGGGATACATTCATGTATAACAATGAAACAAAAACCTTTATTATACTACATGATCCCTCCCTTTATAGATAATACAGAAGAATATTATCTATCACATGATTAACCCAATAAACACAGAATACACTAAAGGTGTGACTGGTACCCTAAAAAACCCTTAACAGTGATCCAAACTGCTTTTCTTATAAAAAATGTATATAATCACAAACTTTTTCTTGGTAATGCAATAAAAGGGATCTTTAATTTGTTTCCATTTCACACACCTTAAGAAAAGAATCATTCCTCATTTACACAAGAAAACTTAAACACAAGACGATGAAGACTCCTAGGCCCAGTTGTTCAAAGGTGAATAGCTGAATCAGTGATTAGCGCAAATCAAAGTTTTTGTGCATCTTAAAAACAACCATTAATTGAGTTAAAACTTTTCATATACCAAATATTTCAGCAGGGTAAAATCACATCAAGTTTTTACCTTGTATATTGACCAAATTATTAGAGGTTGAAAAATATTGTTTTACAGTAATTAGGCTTATTTATCACCTTTTGTACAAGTAGGGCCTGGTTCAGTTTCTTGCTGAACTGAAAGTGATTAATTTCGTTATTCTCATATGGAAACTCATATAAAAAATTATACTTATGAAGTGTAATGTTAAAATACCTTGAGAGATCCCAGGCTTCCTACAAACACTCTCTCCTCTAGATCCAGCAACAGCTCCCTAAGGTTGATTTCTAACACTTCCTGTGCTAGATCTCCCTTTATCAAGCCCTTTGCCACTTTCTTAACAGGAACTTTTCTTGAAGTGCCTTCTATGGCAGGTGACACACTCCGCTCTTGTTCCTCCATTAAACTCTCAGGAACAGCTGGTGCAGTGCACAGAGATTTTGTAGGACATTTCTCAATCAGTTCTGATATTCTGGTTTTTTGATCCATCAAACTCTGCTTTAAAGCAGATTCCCTATAACCACGAGAGTTAAGAGCACTCGTCAGCTGATCAAACTGCTCTGTCGTGGATATATAGGTCCACATATGCTTTGGACCCTCCAGTATTTGCTTGATTGCCAGACTGTCGAGTATCGGTGGTCCCTGATCAGTTTCCATTCCCTCTGCTTTGCCCTGCTGTGAGTCATCATCACTAATCGTTAACACCTCGTCCTTGGCCCCCTCACTACTTCCACCATTTGTTAACGGTGTTTCTGCCCGACTGTCACTGATGAGTTCATTGTTTCCTGGAGTATTGTTACTGACAGTAGACACATTCATACTATTGTCTGCTGTTGACAAATTCATACTGTTATTTACTGAGGAAGTGTTCATGCTATCATTTTCCTTGTCACTTCCGTTCTCTTCTGGTAATTTCTTTTTGGGAGGTGCCTGAATATCTATAGTGGGGAGCTGTTGTCCAAACACAGTGCTGTTAGTAAAAGGATTGGAATTGGGATTTTGTGGAACTGGTTTTAAGTATTCATCCTTAACATGCATTTCACAATCTTCAATGAAGAGCCCTGGTAGTGACTGAAAAACCCAGTATCGTCGATACATTCTGTCACGCCCAAGGGGATAGGTCTGACTAGCATGCTGAAGGCGAGAAATTGAGTCAATCATCTCCTTCTCCTGTAACCCAAACTCTGCTTTTTTGTCAGCCTCTTCCTCTTCCTCCTGTAGACGTTCTTCCTCCTTCTCCTGCTCTGAACGAATCACTTCAGACTCATCCTCCTCTTCTTCCTCAGGTAAGGGTGGTACGGGTAGGCCACTTCTACAGGGACATCAAACAAATAACACAGTCATTAACAAGTTTTACAATTATAACAAGAGCTGTTGGAGAACAGCATAGCTCCCCTATGTATGTTATTATAATACTGCAACTATCAATAGAAACACATGTATAGTAAAACGTTGATATAGTGCCTGTCATTTTATTTGCCACCTCACTTACCACCAGCATATTTCAAGGACCGTTAATTGTAAAGTGTTAGTATATGGGGATATACCTGTAGACTTGAGAAACATCTATGTGATATGTAATTGTTAAGAAATTAACGAAGCCCAATAAAGCTGTTTTTGGACGCTAAAATATGAAAATATGGTTCAAAACATTGCTTACACTCAATACAAATACTTCAACCTTACAATAGACAACAGCCTATTGATAGCGGTGGTCCAACACTACCCAAACAAGAGGCCCAAGGGCCTAAACGGTCACCTGACTGAATCCTACAGTATTTATTTTTGTTGTTGAAATATGTACCAATTTGAGTACAAAATAGTTAAGTATAACGTTAACTCCAGTTTGTCAGGTCCATGAGCTGATCATTCCTAGACCGAGTTTCAGTTAAATCGGCCTATTAGAACTTGTTTTTAAGTTTGAAATAGCGGCCATATTGGATTTCTGATCGACCCGAAAAATAACAACACTTGGTCAGGGAGATGTCAGTAACCTTCCCATGAAATATTAATGAAATCCCTTTGCCAGTATTTCAGCATAAGTTGAAAATGTAAAATGTTAACGGACGACGACGGATAGCAATAGGTCACTTGAGCTAAAAGCTCAGATGACCTAAAAAACTTGCCCAAAAACTTAATCTGAAGCTTGCCATAAAACTTTAACCAAGGCCAATGAAACTGCTTTTGGCCCCTAAAATATGAAAAATATTGTCCAGAACATTGCCGACACACCATATAAATACTTCAACCTTATAATAGACAACAGCCTATTGATGGTGGTTGTCCAACACTTCACAAAAAAACTTGCTCAAAAACTTTAACCTCAAATTTAATTCCAATAAAGCTGTTTTTGGAAGCTAAAACATGGTCCAGCACACTGCTTACACTCGATATAAATGATTTATTGCCCAAAAACTTTAACCCCAATTTAACTTAGTCCAATTAAGCTGTTTTTGGCCCCTAAAATATGAAAATATGGTCCAGCACGCTGCTTACACTCAATGTAAATGATTGAAACTCATATTAAATAGACAACTGTGTATTGAGTGTGTTGATCCAACACTGTCAGGAAAAACTTGCCCAACCTCGGAAGGTGGGATGCCGACGCCGGGTTGACTACCTTAGCCCTGCTATTCTTCGAATAGGTGAGCTAAAAATACACATCCTGTTCTATTTGTCTATACCCTGCACAGAATAGTAAAATCTCTATTTATTGTAATGAGTGATGAGCCTACCGTGGTCGAAAGTATCAATGTAATTTTTGCAGTCAGGTGTTTTAAAATAGATAGGGGTGATTCCGTTTCATTAAGCTTTCTCTTTGTTTAATGAAACTTAATCAAAAGCAGACCTAGATTTCTCTCAACAGTCTCAAGTGATCTTGACCTCAATAATCTCTTCCTAAGAACAATCAATGTATGAGTTAAGACGACTGTGAGGCTTAGAAAAGAAAGACAATGATGTATGGAAACTTAAATTATGCATAAACTAAAAGATGTGATATGACCCATTCTTGATCAAATATTTTACAGACAGTTCAGGTCTAGAAAATACCTCTCCTACACACTGTTTAATTTAGTGATAAGCTCATTGCACATTTCTAACTAGAAAGCTAATTCTGGAATAAACTCAGTGCATTTTCTAAATAAGTTCAATTCAGTGATAAGCTAAGCACCTTTCTACAAACCAATTTACCTTTAAGAAATAAATTTGGTGCCCATTTCTATATACAGACTTAAATTTTGACAGGAATAAGCTTTGCCCATTTCAAGATACACAGGATTAAATTAAGGAATAATCCCAGTACCCCATTTTAATATCTCGTTAAGTACAGACACACCTGATCAAAAGCAGTGACTGTGATTTGTAGACCCTTTTGATGTAATATGCTTTCAAAGACAACCCAGGCACAGAAGCAATATGATGTTTGAGTACTGTCAGCCCAAGGGAGCTATATTCAGAATAAAAGGTAACCTAGTATCACTAAGTGACAAGGTACAGAGATACCATGACTGTAAGCCTTACTCTTGCAATCGTAATCTTTCCTCATACAGTTGGATTTTTTTCAAACGTTTTTGTTCCAGTTTCTCTCGTTCCATCATCCGCTCTTCTTGGCGACGCTTGTATCTGGAGAAAAGTTTTTAAAAAATCATAAGAAAAATGAACACAAAATCTTCACAAAAACGCTTCTTTTCATTTTTTAAATGCAAATACACTTTTTTCGGGAGAGATATATTTCAAATCACCAAGAACTATTTCTTTCATGAGTATGGGTCTCGCTGGGTATTAAAAGCTCATTACCAGTCAGACCGGTTATCATTCTACAACTGACTGTTTTGCGATTCAATGCATCACGCACCCTGATCGGCATTCAATATCAAAAATCAAACGCACTCACCTGAAGACTTTGAAACACTGCCAAGCTGGTTGCTACTGATGGTACATTCTCGAAAATGATATATCCAAAATAAAAGTTATATTACTGAAAGTACTTCTATAAATCCCAAATAATTTTACGTACATAGAACTGCACCAACAAACGAAAACTTTATTATGTACTCAGTTGTTGTGTAGACGCTTTACTAGCAAAACATGTGCGAAATGCGACACTCCCAGGTGTGTAGTCAACAATATGAAATATGATTGAACCGTTCTCATGGAAATGATTGGAATTAGTATTGTTTTTTTCACAGGAGGTTATAACTAGTTGGATATCTGAAAGGTAGGCATAAGCGTTTCTCGTATGATTGCTACTTTCAGGGCCAGGTTTTTTGGGGGAGGGGGGGTTGGAGTGCGGCAGGGTTGTGCATTTACATATTTTAATTGGTCGCATTTTACTACTATTAGATAAATGCTATCTTCCATTTCAATTTTATTCAACTGATCTGATACAAAATGTCGGTAAAAAATCATGAAAGTGTTTATATATTATATATATATAATAGTAATGTCACCTTGGGCACACATTAAACAAATGATAACCAGTCTGACGGGTTATGCACTTTTTATACCCAATGTTTGACCCAACTTAAGGTACACTCAACCAGGAAGGACAACCGATGCTAAAACTTACCGGATAGCAGCTTCCTCACGCTCACGACGATGTTCACTCCACTGCATCTGTTTCAGGTCAGATTTCAACTGGCGTAATCTCTCATAATTATCTTCAATAGTGTCGCGTGTTGCTGCATATGTCAGAATCTGTTGGATCAGTACACGTAGTATCTTCAACTTGTCAACTACAACAACGAAAACTAGTACATTTAGTTTTCTGCAGAAACAAGAGATCTCTGGGATATTGGCACCCATTGTAAGATCTTCATTAGTTTTAAGTCAATTTGATCTTTTTCCTTCAATTCTCTTCTTTTCTCTTATCTGATAGATTGTCTTGTCAACAATAAATATATCTTGTGGTAACTTTGATAAAAAATTCTATAATGCTGAGTCTGAGAGCGCCCTTTCAAATGTGATCCTTGTTCATTATCTTCTTTAGCATAAGTGATAACAAACTTTAAGTTCACAATAGAAGATGACTGCCTGGTGGCCATTTTGTTTTCCTGATCAGTCCCAAAATGAAACATGCACAACTTTGGATCAAGGAGAACTTTCATACAAATTTAGAGAAAGATCTGTGGAGTGCTTCTTGAGAAATAGTGTTAAGGTAATAGGTTTGTGTCACCATTTCTCAGTAGAATTTCTTCAAATTTTGTAGTTATATTGCTTTGAAGTAAAGAACATTTTCTACCACAAAATAAGTATAGGTTGTCAGAATTTGAAGAATTTTAAAAGGAAATTTATGTAAAAGGAGTGAATTTTGAAAAAAAAATAAAACACAATTTTTTGCAAAATCATGTCAATAAAAATGATACTGCCATAGATTAGTATTGCATTAATGTTTATCAATTTAATAAATGCTGAAATTGTGTAAAATGAATTATCTATAAATGATTAAAAATTGACATTTTATAATAAAACCAAATACATATAGTAATTGCATGCAAGAGTTATCACAGTAGTGAAATAGGTAGAAGGTTTCCTGAAGTACAGAAAAATGGACACATGCGACTCATTCAGTCATTGATAAAAAACAACTGAATAAATGCCTGGACTGCTTTGAAATACTTTGATATTGAGAGGACACACTGTTCTGTCAATAACTAGAACACTGACAGGTCAGTAAGGGCCCCGTCTTGTGGCAATATATCCCCCATAATCATCGAGAAGCAATCTGCCCATGTAGCTGAGCTTGACGTTTGACATTTGGACTTCAAAAAGAATCGCAAGGAAGCAAAATATACATTTTACCTGTACTATGATACGAGTCTTGGTTCCTTCCACCTCCATATTTGCTGGGCTAACAGAAATGTGAATACCGGTGCAATACTCATTTGTTAGCTTTGATTTGCTTTGTTTCACCTTATATACCTCCTCTATCAAGAGCCAGGGTCAAAGTCAGAGATCCACTTTGTCTTTGACATTTGAACCCAAATGACCTGGACCATTACCCAGTGACCCTGATCTTTGGTCAGTTGACTTATTCTTTAATTCCGACCAACTTTGCTTCTTGATATCATAACAAAATGTTCATCAGTGAAAAGATGTAAAATTTGACCTTGACCTTTGAACCTAATGACTTTGCCCTTTCACCTCAATGTGAATTTTTGTGACCTTAACATCTTGACCAAGTTTCATGTACATCGGTCAATAAATACCAAAGTTATCAGCCAGGAACATAATTTGTGGACAGACAGACGGACGGACAGACAGAGAGATAACTATAGGGCACCCGTATCTCCGATACGGGGCCCTCATAAACATACAATATTCATCAGTTTAAGATTTAACATAAGAATATGCGGAAATTGTGATACTGTCTCCCTACATTGGATTTTCAACTAGGGATGTACTTCCTATTTCCGTTTATCAATACACTCATATGACCTTAAAAAGTTTCTAAACTCTCTAAATCAAAGATGGCTGCCTGGTAGCCATGTTAATTTTCTGATCAGTCCTAAAATGAAACATGCACAACTACAACCAAGGGGAACCTTCATATATGATATTGGAGAAAGATCTGTTAAGTCCTTCTTTAGAAAGATGGACTATACGGACAACAGACCATTTGAATAACTAACTTGAACTGGCAAAATAAAAGATGGCTATATGGTGGCCATCTTGTTTTTCCGATAGTTAACTTAAGGACCATTGGATCATTCATATGAAATTTGAGAAAGATCCATTTACTAATTTTTGGGAAATAGCAATAACAAGAATTGTTTAAGTACAGACGGACCATGGATGAAGGACAATTTCATGCCCACCATCATTAGATGGAGGGCTAAAAAAGTTTAATTACCAGGTAATCAAAACTAATGGCTTAGCTAAGGAACTTAATGTTTAAAACTCAAGTGTCTACTGCATGGAAGAGCCAGGTAAAAGTAAACAAATGTCATTGTGATGTGCATTACCTGGTTCAAGGTCAAAGACACACAAGCTGGAGAGGTTTTTGAGAACAGCCTGTTCCTGGCGCCTGAAATCCAAGCCAGGATCATCCTGAGAAGTGTAGCCACCCCTCTGTTGATATCTGTACTTGATGTTCTTCTCCTTGCCCCTAGCTCCTGCTGACAACAGGTGAAGACGGAGGATCTCTGATAGAGTGAAGGAATCCAGTGGCAGCTTCTTCAGCAAGGAGCCTAATAAAACAAATAACGTTCATGTACATCAAAAAAATATTTAAACAAGAGGCCCATGGGCCTTAACGGTCACCCGAGTTATGTAAAATCTGATGTTATCGATGTTGCCAAATGAAAAAAGAAATCATTTCGTTACAAAGGTAACTTGAACTATTGTAATGCAAAAGTGGTGTGAAAGATCTGTAGTATATATATGTACTATGTACACAGTGGTTCTGTCAGTCAGCTGAATTTTAGTAAAGCACCTTAAGACCCTTCCATCTATGAACAGTATTTGATTCTACCATATCTGGTTCTTGAGAAGATTTTTGAAATTTCAGTCAATTCAACCCTTTTTGGCCCAACCCATCAGCCCCTGGGGGGTCATTCAGGGCTGATATGTGCATACCATCAAACTGCTATCCAATAATGATAATGCTAACCAAGTTTGAATTAATTCCAATGGAAAAACAAATGTTGGTCCAGAGTGTGATTTCCCTATATAAACTATAGTAAAGTTTATCCCCTCCCCAGGGGGAAACGTGAGACCCCAGGGTCATGACATTCACAATTTTGGTAAAGCACCTTAAGACCCTTCCATCTATGAAGAGTATTTGATGCTACCATTTCTGGATCTTGAAAAGACNAAACGTGAGACCCCAGGGTCATGACATTCACAATTTTGGTAAAGCACCTTAAGACCCTTCCATCTATGAAGAGTATTTGATGCTATCATTTCTGGATCTTGAAAAACTTTTGAAATTTTAGTCAATTTGACCCTTTTTGGCCCTGCCCCTCAGGCCCCTGGGGCTGGGGACCATATATTTCACACTTTCGGTTGACCTTTGGCCATGGAATGTTTCTGCAAAGTTTCATTGAAATTGGTACAGGGGTTTTGGAGAAGTTGAAAATGTAAATTGTTTACGGACGCATGACAGAGGAGAGAAGGCGATCGCAATATCCTTTTTCAATATTAACATTGTCAAGGGAGGGTGCAGAGGGAGCAATTTCCTAGATTTTATGATATTTATAATTTGGACTCCAGTTCCATTTTTCTGAAATATCCCAATAAATCTCTGATACAGGGTGCTAATTATATTTAAAAAGAACAATCTTCATTAAATGTAAAGTACAATCCTAACTTAATCCTCAAAGAATAGAGCTGCTTACCATGGTTAAGCTGAGGAATCTGGGAGTAACTACTTGCTGATTCTATTAGCTGGTAAGTGGAGGCATCCGTATCATCAATTATGTCCACCACTAAGGAAAAAAGTCTTTACTTCAAACATAGCTAGTAAGTTTGATGATGTTGTCTTCTTTGGTACAATTTGCTTTAATACTCAAAAATAAGAAATAGATATTACTGGTTTTTCACATTATTAGTTTCATGAGGAGAGAAAATATTTCTGAATTTCACTAGTAATTCAAGAATAGCATATCTATAATACCTTTCATTATTAAGAGTTACTTAGCATTAAGTTGCAGTTTAATGGGCCACTATAGGAAAGTGATCACATGACAACAGAGATGTGCTACCCACATTGGTTGTCCCCTTTGTCCTTTTTGGAAAGAGCCTCTTCCTCTTCTTCCTCCTCCTCCTGAAGGTTGAACACAGCCGTAATCATCATGAGCAGGATGTCTGTCAACGTGCCATTGTGGTCAGTCTCCATCAAGGCTCTCTCTAGTACCTCTATAACATTAAGATAACTACATCAACACAAACACCCATGCAGCACATTTTTTTCCAGGTAGCCCAGGTGACCGGAAACACACATATTATTTTATTTGGCCTAAGGAACTTATTGTTCCCGTATTGGAATCTAAGTACAGTCGTATCTGCTCAAGCGACCATCTGTTTTATGCGACTGTCACCACATTTGACAAATTCGTGATCTTTTCACAAAGTTCAATGAACAAATTAAAAAGAAACAAGAGATCCCAGAGGGAGCTTGGCGCCCACCTTTGTACCATTTTCATTAGTTCTTTGTCAGTTCAATCTTTTCTCTTCTTTCCTCTAATCTGTTTGATCGAGTCATGTTAACAGTAAATGCACCTTGAGGTAACTTTTGATCTAAACTTAATACTGATGTGTATGAAAGCCAACCNCTTTGTACCATCTTCATTAGTTCTTTGTCAGTTCGATCTTTTCTCTTCTTTCCTCTAATCTGTTTGATCGAGTCATGTTAACAGTAAATGCACCTTGAGGTAACTTTTGATCTAAACTTAATACTGATGTGTATGAAAGCCAACCTTCAAAGTGAGTTTGTCATTTCACATATTTACTAGTACAGTACTTAATGTGAAAGAAATAGAATCGATCATTGCAATATGAGAAAGATTTGTTTAGTTCTTCCTTTAATCCATTTTGTTTTTATGATCAGTCTCAAAATATAACATGCACAACGAGGGATCATGGGGAACCTACATATAAAATTTGAGAAAGATCCCTCCCGTACTTCCCGAGAAATAGGGATAACAAACTTTCACTATCAAAATCTAAGACGGCTGCCTCTCGGCCATGTTGTTTATCCGATCAGTCTCAAAAATTGCCCTGCACAGCTAAGGACCAAGGGGAACCTACATATAAAATTTGAGAAAGATCCGTCTGGTACTTCTTGAGAAATACCGAAAACATGAATTGTTTAAGGACAGACAACAGACGGCGGACGATGGACGCAGGGTGATTTGAATAGACCACCATCAGATGATGGTGGGCTAAAAACATCAGTAAAACCGACACGTGCTCCCTGAATAAACATCAGGTTTGGGAACGTGTCCAATTACAGTGATAGAAAATAAACATATTTTCATATTCCAGAAACTAGCACAATTCAGAATTATGTCAGGCAGTAGCCCCAATGCTCAACGGAGATCGTTCTTTTCTAAAAGAGCAACATCTAAGATTGATTAATATCTCATCTGAAAATCAACATTTTTATAAAATTTCAGTCTCTAAATAAAATGTCAGTACCGGTATATCAATAACTACTGCGCCATTGATCCGATATCCCCAACCTCTATAGGGATCGTCCTCCTCTCGAGGGGCATCATCCATTCAAGTTTGGTTTAGATCTGATGTATTGCTAAGAGATAGCATCCAGAAACCAACATTTTCCCAAAACTTCAGTCTATGTATAGCCATTGTGACCCTGACCTTTGACATAGTGACCACAAAATCTAGAATACCAATTAGACATACCTGCTAACCCCTGAATCTCCCAATGGGGGTCATGACCGGACATGGGAAATTCTGTGGGGGTGGGGGGGGTGATAACGCACGACAAAAAATTCACGTCAAAATTAATCATTTAATTTTTGCGCTGTCACAGCATAACATATTTTGTGTCTTCTGGTATGATTGAGGACTTTTTTAAAAAAATAAAACAAATCTATTCACACAATTGTTTTACTACATTCTCTCATTTCAAATTTGTTACATTCTCTCTTTTCAAAATACAAATTTCCCTGTACATACAGGTAGTTTGAGTTATTGTAGAAAACTTGGCATCTCTCATCACTGATGCATACTGAAAGCATGAACTCATCTAGAAGCTCCTCTATCTGTTTCTTCCTCTCATCTTTATGTATCACATTGGAAATGTTGACAGAATGCGGGAAATTTGTATGACCCATGCGGGTCATGCATTGGTCACGGGTGATAGGTACATTTTTCAGGTCATTCAGCAGGTGTGATTTGACCAAATAATCTGAACTACACAGTAGAACCTTAGCAATCTGAAACTTTGGGGTCAGAAATCAAGATATATGTCCATGATTGTCAGAGTTCAGAATGGCAAAGTGCTACTGTATCCTTCCAAACCTACCAAAGCTTGTAAATATAACCATGCACCAAAGTTATGACAACTGACATGTGTTTTTTGTTTTTAATCATATTAAATTTATTTCTACTGGGTGCAGTTCAAGTATTGAGTGTATCTCAGGAAAAGCCTGACCCTGTCCAAAGTGATGGTTATCTTACCAAATGTAAATCCTTTGGGAAAATACTCTTTCAAATCAAACAGAGCTTTGAATCCATTGATGAACTCAATGACCATTACAGCATCACCAAAGGATTCCACTGGGATCTTGGTCATTACCGGCTGAGGCTCTGGCAATACCTGTAAACCAATCAGTTATTTACATTACTCTAATTTACTGTTACAGAAGTGCTGGGCTCTTCATCTACCTTATATGCTAACATTAAAGACATGGTACAAACAGACACTGTATAATGCATATATTTTGTTGAAGTGTATTTTTGCTTTATTCATTACCAGAACTTGAATTATAAAATATCATACTAGAAGCAATATCCTGTAAGTTAGACTGTATGAAACTAAAGCACTTTATACCTGGTAAGTACATGTATCTTTAAGTTCCTAATTGAATTCTTGGCACTACGAACACATACCTCAAGCTCCCATACAGTGCAATAGGCAAGACAGATGATGATACATGTATAAACAAATTGAATATATTCCATATGCACAATTTTTTTGCTCGTTTCTTTATTTTCTTTTTTATTCTTTCGCAAGGAACCAGATTCAAAACTGGGTCAAATTTACAAATTTACTAACATATTGTACAACTGGCCCTCTTCAAAACTTTGCATATAATACTATATATATACCATTCATTAACTTTATCTTGAAGTATTTGGGATCATATCCTACCAAAATTAATCATAATTTGTATCACAAGTATACATGCAAACAGAAGCTATATTAAGCTATACATTGGGCTGGATCCCTAGATGTACTATAGATTAAATGTACCTTCAGGTCATCACATTCCATGTCGTCACGTATACGATTCCACTCTCTCAGGTACTCCAGCTGGACACGGCGCTCCTCCATCATCTTCTCTCGCTCCTACGAAAATCAGGATTAGGAAGGTAATGACATTGATGACAATATGACTACAGCAGCTGAGTCGGGAGTAAATTTAGTTATAACACTGCTAACAATATAACCACAACAGCTGAGTCGGGAGTAAATTTGGTTATAACACTGCCAACAATATAACTACAACAGCTGAGTCGGGAGTAACTTTGGTTATAACACTGCCAACAATATAACTACAACAGCTGAGTCGGGAGTAAATTTGGTTATAACACTGCTAACAATTTAATCATAACAGCTGAGTCGGGAGCAAATTTGATTTTAACACTGCTAACAATATAACTACAACAGCTGAGTCTGGAGCAAATTTGGTTATAACACTGCTAACAATTAATATAACCATAACAGCTGAGTCGGGAGTAAATTTGGTTATAACACTGCTAACAATATAAGCACTACAGCTTAGTAAATTTGGTTATAACACTGCTAACAATTTAATCATAACAGCTGAGTCGGGAGTACATTTAATTTTAACACTGCTAACAATATGACTACAGCAACTGAGTCGGGAGTAAATTTGGTTATAACACTGCTAACAATATAACTACAACAGCTGAGTCGGGAGTAAATTTGGTTATAACACTGCTAACAATATAACTACAACAGCTGAGTCGGGAGTAAATTTGGTTATAACACTGCTAACAATATAACTACAACAGCTGAGTCGGGAGTAAATTTGGTTATAACACTGCTAACAATATAACTACAACAGCTGAGTCGGGAGTAAATTTGGTTATAACACTGCTAACAATTTAATCATAACAGCTGAGTCGGGAGCAAATTTGATTTTAACACTGCTAACAATATAACTACAACAGCTGAGTCTGGAGCAAATTTGGTTATAACACTGCTAACAATTAATATAACCATAACAGCTGAGTCGGGAGTAAATTTGGTTATAACACTGCTAACAATATAAGCACTACAGCTTAGTAAATTTGGTTATAACACTGCTAACAATTTAATCATAACAGCTGAGTCGGGAGTACATTTAATTTTAACACTGCTAACAATATGACTACAGCAACTGAGTCGGGAGTAAATTTGGTTATAACACTGCTAACAATATAACCACAACAGCTGAGTCGGGAGCAAATTTGATTTTAACACTGCTAACAATATAACTACAACAGCCGAGTCGGGAGCAAATTTGGTTATAACACTGCTAACAATTAATATAACCATAACAGCTGAGTCGGGAGTAACTTTGGTTATAACACTGCTAACAATATAACCACAACAGCTGAGTCGGGAGTAACTTTGATTTTAACACTGCTAACAATATAACTACAACAGCTGAGCCGGAAGTAAATTTGGTTATAACACTGCTAACAATTTAATCATAACAGCTGGGTCGGGAGTACATTTAATTTTAACACTGCTAACAATATGACTACAGCCACTGAGTCGGGAGTAAATTTGGTTATAACACTGCTAACAATATAACCACAACAGCTGAGTCTGGAGTAAATTTGTTTTTAACATTGAAAGTGAATTAAATATCAATCACATTGGTAATATCACTGGAGATGAAAAGTATTATTTAAAGGAGAACCTGAGGACCCTTGTAACATAAGTAACCCTTAAGGGAACCCTATATGAACAAAGGAGAATTTTTCCATTAGAGGTTCAGTATCAAATATTCACCTTCTGCTTCTCCTCTCTTAGCTTTTGTTTTTCTTCCATCATCTTCTTCCGTTTTTCTTCTTTTTCTGCCATTTTTTCTGCCATCCTTTGCAATTTCATTTGTTCTTTGATAGCTGCCTTTTGTTCCATAGTTAGCTCAAGATCAGCTTTTGGTTTGGGAGATTTTTCAGCTAAAGTAGAAAAGAAATTCAGTTCAACACACAGATTAATATTAATTAGTATTCTACTTTCAAATATTCCCGGATGAAACCTATCAAGTATGAGCATGACAAAGTTACAATTATTTCAAGCCCCCCCCCTAAATCATATAATAATATATGAGCTTTGTTTGATGCACCTACTTCCTACCAACATAATACGACCTATATATAAGACATCCAGTAAATACTAAATAACATGTTTTCATGTTCACCATCAATAAAAAGGTGTAAGCCAGCATGTGTGAAGCTATGGATGGACAAGACGCAAAACTATAGTCCCCCCAAGGAGACTAATTACAAGGGAAGACTTTGGGGTAGCTGCACTACTAAGAATTGTGTATACTTGATCACCAGCTCCAAATGAAATCTACAAGAATTAGGTGTTAGGAAACCAAACACCAATTTAAATTCTGTAACTTATTCCATCTAACAGACAAAATACTACACAGAGACAACACCAGTGGGTTTTTTACTTCCATTTTAAAACCACCTGTTCCTTTGCAATTGGGAAAATACAAGATGTCTTGCGCGCAGCGGAAGCGCGAGCGCAGAATGCGCGAAACCATGTTGGGGGGTTCCGGGAAAAAAAATTGAATTCTAGAAGCTCCGAGGTGCATTCTGATAGTTTTTGTAGAGAATTAATTGCTCTTAAAAAATGACATATTTCTTTATTCATTTTGTTTCTATTTAAAATTTGAAACAGATTCTTCACAAAATGTAAGATGAAAATCATTGACAAGGTTAGAATTTTTAAAATCACAATTTTAATAAAGTTTAACAAGGTACATGTACCACCAAATCAATCTCTTCTTTGTCCACTTCTCCATTCTATGACAGAGGGGTTACTGAATTTGGAGATATAGAACTTGACTGGAACAGGGAGGCAGTAAAGGCAATATTTATGTGTGCTGACTTGGCAATTTGCGACACAACAGAAAAAATGGAGCATTTCCTAGTTGACCTTTGGGACATGAAAAGACTAATTGGATGTGTCACAGCTGGTGATGCATTTGTCATACAACAGTGTCACGCAGATGTGTGTCTCGCAACACTATACGAAAAGCAAATTCCGATTCTGAAAGATGGTAAAGAGTTTTTTTCACTCCTAGCAGATAAAAGCCCAGATCAGGCACACACGAGTCAACTTAGCAAATTACGGGATCGTCTCTGTGTCTACAAGACTTTGTAGCTTCCTTGAATGCATTGCTTATTTTAGTCAGTCCTTTGGAATCAATTTTTCTGATGTTTTTAGTGAAGAATTTTGAATTATGCGACATGGTGTAGAACCTGATGTCATCTGCGAATCAAAGCAGTTGTTAATTTGACGCTTGAAATTCTGATGACCGTATCAAACGCTATCATGACCTAGATTCGAATATTCGGATTTGACTTCTCTCCCCTTGCTCAGAAAAGGAAAATTTCTGATCGCTGAAGTTATTATTGTTCGAGAGAATGACTGATGTATTTTAACATACTCTTTAGACATGTTTGGATAAAATCATAGATTACAACAATAAGCAAACAAAGACAGGTATTCTATTTGGGAAAATGTTTTTATTTTGGGAAAATAAGTAATTTTCAGACTAGGGGAAGCAGCCGTTAGACGGCTGTAGATCAGGCAAAAAAAACCCACTGAACCCAGTAGCTGTCCATTTCCACCTACAATCACACTCGCTACAGGACATAGAATACCAGATCATTGAAAATCTACACGAAGCCTGACAGCCAACAGGAAATAATTCGAGTACCACTGACTTACCAACTACATACCCTTATATGACTAGGGATCAATGTCCAAGGTGAATGTTGTAACCTCAGTAAATTTAGTAAATCTACGTTCTAATGGAAAACAATGCTTGCATCAATATCCATAGTAACGGTAATATAAATAACACCAAATAATTAACCTTTCTCTTTTTTTTGTTTTTCCTCCTTTTCTTTCTTTCTTTTCTTTTTCCCAGAGACCTCCTGTTCCTCCATCTCTTCATCCTTCTTTGATCCCGGCAGCCCTTTCCTCTTGGACTCTGTGGCCTCAAACCCTGGGACTGGACCAGAGAAAAAGTCCAGGAAACTGGCCTTATCTAGTCCTTTCTTAATTACTATGTCATTCTGCAAACGTAGAACATTGATAACTACATTACTCTATGAATCATTTGATGACTACATCATACAACAAACATACCTGATGACTAAATCATTCTACAAGTATAAGTGATCACTACCTCATTCTAAGAGGGTTGATTTGACAGAACATGAGCTAAGGATCCTTGGTCTCTTGCAAACAAAACACTTGAAAATTCCACTGTGTTTTTTCGTATCACTCCTCTCATTTTTTGTTTTAGATATAAGCGTATTGCAATTGGCACTTCCGTTGACTCACTTGCTATAACAATTTGAGTTTCAGGGTATAGGAAATAGTAATCCTGGTCAAGCTCTGCAGATATTTTTTATTACACTCGAAACAATGTTGTTGATTACATATAGTTCGTTTTAATTATTTTCCCCCATAAAAGTTTGTAAGGTATGATGTTTTTAGAAATGATTGATCAAAGCAATAGTTATAACGAAAAACAGTTTCCAATGCCTTGTTTCAGTTTATGGCAGTGGTACAGGGATCCTGAAGTGTCTGCATTGTACTCTCTATAGCAATGTTATAATCTCTTACCTTGACTCTCCAGATGCCCATGTAAGGCTCACAGTACTGCTTAAGGAACAACTTGCTCTTATCTCTTGTGTACAAGCCCTTTTTTCGACTGTTGGGGAAAATATTTACATGTTTTACAGAATATAGGAATAGGATTGTCCTATGAACAATATAACATAAAACATTTATCTAAAACAAGAGGCCCAGGGGGCCTGTATCGCTCACCTGTTTCTTTTGTTACATGAAACTGACATATAGGTAACTTCAGACCAAATTTGGTAACTAGAACACAAGACATTTTAACATCTCTTAAACGCTTAAGATATTGTTGTTTGAAATTTGAAATTTTAATTTTAATTTTAAAGCATTTAACCAACATTGACCTTTGACTCCAGCTAGCACTTAAAGTTGACCTTTGACCTCATTACTGTAATAAAGAAAAGGATTTGCACTGCTGGTCTACATAACATACCAAAGTATTACGACTCCAGTTCAAATGTTTTTAAGGATATTGTTGTTTGAAGTTTTTAACATATTTGAGCCCTGTGACCTTGAAAGAAGGTCAAGGTCATTTTAATGAAAAAAAATTATAGCACTCCATCCCAGGTACCTACTGGCCAAATATTTTGACCCTGGGCCTTATGGAACTTGAGAAGAAGATTTTTAAAGCTTTTAAACAATGTTGACATTTGACCCCTGACCAGCAGTTTAAGTTAACCTTTGACCTCATTACTATAATAAAGATAAAGATTTGCATTGCTGGTCTCCATAACATACACAAGTATCATGACCATATTTGAGCCCTGTGACCTTGAAAGTAGGTCAAGCCCATTTAAATCAGGAAACTTTATAGCACTCCATCCCAGGTACCTACTGGCCAATTATCATGACCCTAGGTCCTCCAGTTCTTCAGAAGAAGACGTTTAAAAGAAACAGTTGACGGCCGGACGCCGAACGCCAGCCGGACGCCGAACGCCCTTTTGGGCTAGGTGAGCTAATGACCCCTTAAATACTTAGAATTATAAGTGAACTGTGACATTAGTTATTGTAATCTATTACCAACATTTAACATAATGGCAGCTCTATTAGTAGTAATTTTAATATGTCAGTATTGTTGTACATGTGATTACCAATGGCCTCTATTAGATGGAAGACCCACCTGATTTGTTTGGATGGTACTGTTATGGTGATGTTGTTTTTACCCCTCTCCTGGACGACATAGCGGTATTGCTCCGCCGGCAGGATGGGTCCTCCCTTCCTTTTTGTTGCACTGTTAAATAGTAAATACACTGCAGCATGTACATCAGTACCAGACCACATTCATTATTTAAAATCTACAAATGTAATCACCCGTCTAGTTTTCCATTAGTACAATGTGTGTGATCAAAGCTGTATGCAGAGAGGACCAACCGGCCAGGACACAATGTTGAAATTTTACAAAATTTTCACATTTTAAGAAAGTAATAAATTGAAACACAAAAATCATGCTTACCAATTTTACCTTTAGCTGTACGTGTTTCGTTTTCAGATTGGAGAAAAAACATAATCTGAATTTTAAACTAGCCATGACCTATCAGACATGATCCCATGTTTTCCAACAAACACACGTCGGCCAATTTTGAGAAAATCTTTTGACATGAAATGAGGTTTAATCAGATTATCATAATTTAGGATACACCAGGTTTCTTAACTTATGCAGTAATTAACAAGTTCAAAAAATGAGTTGAGGGTGTCCCAGTCTTCCATCAGATCAACATGGTATCTTAACTCGATCACTTTTGTATATCTATTGTTAGAAAAAAGGTTTCTTCAGTCTTTGTGTGCTGAGTGTGATTATATAATAAACTTAATGTGCTAATATATACACTTCCAGAACCATGAAATGGCCTATATGAACTGAAAACAGACTCACATTCTTGAAAAAAATTATTATAGAACAAGATAAAAGAATCATATTAAACATATTGATACATCTTTGTTAGTAAAACTGCACAGTTGTCAATATTTCATGTCCACATAACTGCATGCAAAAAACAGTGTATTCTATCAACATGAATCAGTTCCAGATACCTCAAGTTTAAAAAGGATTATCACTCCTTAATTATTACCTAATAAAACCCTATTTGATCTCAAAGACACATATCTATGTCTGGTTGATAATATAAAGTGCAACATTGAAGCAGTGGAGGATTTTTTAAATACACCTATTGTGTATAATAATATTAATTTGTAGTCTTGATAAGGTTATTTAAGGAAAAAACAATATTATTTTACATGCATACACGTAATTGTACCAAAAAACTACATTTTGCATAAATTGACGAAGCATTTCATGCACAAATAACAGTGCACACAGTTTTTCCAGTATAACCGCATAACCCAAATATTAATCATGGTGATCCCTAAGCCTGACAATTTAAATTGACAGACAACAAATTTTAGTTCATAACAGATATAAACGAAATAATTTTGCAAAAAACACAACAATGCGCAGTAATTTTATCACTGAGTAACCTAAACCGATCAGAAATTTGAATTACAAACACCTTACCAAACGTTGCAGTATATGACAACAATTTTTGCATTTCTCTTTTTTTGGTTAAATATATGCAATATATGTAGTATGTGTTGTCTTCCTTTCTGCTACATAACAATAAGGCTGTGTACTGATCCAACTACATCATAGGATGTCCCAGTATGCATCGATACAAAATTATGAATATTCATTATAATTAGAATTTCATATTACTGTAAGGGTAATATATACATATATGTTAAAATCATCATGATCATGAACAATGAAGGAATGTTACATCCTTTGCTGGAGATAGCTATAATAGGTCATTCAATATTTTTTCATGTATGACAACCTTTAAAAGCAAAATCGTTTCGTTTGACCTTTTTTACTCAGCCTCTTGGCTCCCAGGATCGTCACTCCCTATATTTCATTATTTGTACAATTTTTAATCCTCATGGCCTTAGATGCTAGCACTAAAATTGGGTTGGTTCCTGCTCAGTACTTTGGGAAATGTCATTTAATGCAAATTAGCCTATTTTACAACTTTTGACCCAGCTCCTCATGATCTGCCATCATCAGTATCATTCTCTTTATTTGTGTAACTTTTTATCCTCATGGCTTAAGGATGATAGCACCAAAATATGGTTGAATTCTTCTTTTTAGTTTGGAAGGTGCTGTTTGGAGCAAACGTAACAGTGAAACGTTGACGGTCAACTAACAGTTACGACAGCACAAGGACGACATGGACGCCAAAGAGGCATCATCACTTGTTGCACCTCATCACTTGTATGAGATTTGAGGCATGCTACTTGTATATATATCCATGAATTGAACAAAAATGGAAAATCATGAACGTAATTGGCAACTGTTTCACCTTCGACGGAATGAACAAAAAGTGTCTGATTATAAAAAACACAAAATTGGAACAAGAAAAAGTACCTCAAAGTAAGTAATGGCATTTTCCTGAAAGTCAAATAAATAAAAACAAAGTGAATGCAGGCTCACAAAGATATATCCCCATTCCCATGAGGTGGTCAATTGTGACATCTGAGTCTTTCTAAACACTGACCAATAACTACCAATATCTAACGAGGTGTAAAACTTTATATTACCAAACCCAGTGTTCTCATTCAGTTTAGAATCAGGTGGTTGACTTAAAAGAATAGCTGGTGGTTAAATATTCACATGCTATATAATATATGTTGACCTGAAAAATACCTGCTTTAAAGTTGATGAATAGCGATTTACTATTGGCTGGCGATTGGGTTTTTATGAGAACATGGCACACTATATGGTAACTAAATCTGTTAAGGGGTTTGCAAGATATCGTGAAACACAAGCTTTTTACTTAAAAAGTGGCCATGGTGAAGTGTAACCTTTGACTTGAAAAGTGTACTGTGGCCATTCATTTAACAAACTTTCTACCTAAGGAGACTAAAAACAAAATATTGCAACACAGTTTGTGCCAAGCAAAATAATAAACACATTTCAACCAGAACTACCTTGCCAATTTGTATTACTAAATGGAAATGCCTTCTCAATGAACAGGAAAAAAGAGATACAATCGTTACCTTTCATCTTCTTCATCAGAGTCAATAACAATACACCCATTCATATCTGATATGCCAGTACTTGGTGGAATAACACGCAGGATCTTGCAACCTTTCCTGCAAAAATAAATGAAAATTTCTTCAGATAAATATGATAATATATCATCACTGACTTAAAGTTGCTACCAAAATGCAAGAAAACTAGATAAAAGAAATGGATGACAATCCTGTCAAATTTTCTCGACTTTTGCAGTGCCGTGCGACCCAAACTGCAGTCAGCACCCTTTGAGTTTATAAAGGTGTCAGCCAGACATACAAGAATTAGAGGATTAACGGCAGTATCTTTAAGTACCTGACACACAGTACTGTTACCCCTGTAATAGTTGAATTGTTAGTTTACATCTATCATTTCACAATTATGTTTGACATCAATGTTTTGGCGGAGGTGTTCATTAAGCGAGCGAGAATTTTAATACCATATTTCAGCATGACNCTTAAACGGCAATCACTAACAGACTGGAAATAACTGGAATATTTTCTTATTATTAATTTCGTTAAATACCAATACTACATCAACTAAGTTCCCCTCTTTCCAATGTTCCCTATAATTAACGTAGCCGAAAACAGTATGGCAGATTCAGGGCTCACCCTGGACCTAAAAGATCAGTAGCTAAGTGTGAATTTCAGTAGCCATTTTTCAAAACAGTCGCCATACTTTCTTGGCCTCCAACTGTTACAGATGGACCCTACATTAAAATCATTCAATATTTAATAATGTTTTTAAGTGTAATACTATTAAACATGATGTTAAAGAGTACTCTGCCCCAAAGTCCTTAAAAATGGTAGTTGTTATTCCCTGCTTAATGCTCAACATTTAAGGGAATGGCAACAACTGGTTCACCTATTGTCAGTATAGTGTGACCTGGCGGAATGCTGTGCTGTGTGCCTTCAGCATGGTATTTCAGGGAGATAGCACTATAAAGTCAGCATCAGATCCACGCTATCACAAGGAGCCAAGCACCCAACACACCCCGTCTCTTGCATACACACATGCAAGCACGCATACACTACATACATGGAGACTAGGGATGTCAAGGTTAACCGAAATAATGGTTAATCGCGGTTCAAAAGACAACGGTTCAGTTTGGTTCATGATTTCCGTATTTCGGTTCGGTTCTATATAAGTGGGTGGTAGTTGTTTGGTAGCAGCAAAAGCGTGTATTATTTGTGTCATATCTCGATCGATACACGCCCCTGACTCCATAGTCATGCAACAGCAATAATAAGTACAACTGTGTTCTTCAGGATGGTTTGAAAGGCAGCTTCTACTTGGATTTTCTCGTCGCAAGACGGTAACTGAATACTAGATATATGTATAAACACAAATTAAACACGGGATTTACCTCTTCAATCAATGTTGGCCTTTACATCTTATATAACTTTGAAATCAGCAGAGCTACGAATGAAACTGGATTCAACATATGGGCCCAGTGCAGAAAACATTGACAACACAAGGCCTTAATCTAATTAAAATGAGATCCTTAGCATTGAAAAAGTTTACACACGACTTTAACCCGATTTCGTAGCGGTATATATATGTATATTATGTACGATATGGGCGGACATTGTTGAGTTAGATCCCGTAAAGTACACCAATTTAATATTGTTTTTTTTTTACTTATGATTCTAGTCAGATTGTCAAAACGTAAGGTGCATGAGCAACATGCGTACTGGAGACTGAAATGTTTGCAAGCCATGATATAATAAAGGAAAGAACATGATTGTCCAGTAAGTATATAGATAGTGCAATGGAGATATTTGCATGATAAAATGAAGGAAATATATATTACATAGATGTTTCAATAAGTCAACTTAAGAAGGGACAGTTGTAGACAGCGAAATACCTAATACAAGTGACAGATTCTTCGTGTTAGTATCTTTATACTCAATACCCTCAGAGGACTAGTAGACAATTGTATATTACTGTTTAACAGTTTAAGTGTGTACATAATGAAGTTTGTTTACGTATTCTACTTGTGATTGTGTATATATAAAGTACATAGATTACAAAGTTGACTGAACCGAACTGAAATAACCGAAAACCGACAACAAAAATGATTACCAAACCGAAAAATTCCAGAACCGTGACATCCCTTATAGAGACACATCCTTAAATGACCTTAGCTGTTAATAGGACGTTTAATAATCAAAATAAAACCAAACCAAACCAATCTTGCCATCTAAAGCTTGCTAATTGTTTTGACAACTTAGACAAAAGCATTAGCTAGCAGTCGTACAGCGCACGCTGAACTGTGGCGGCCCTGATTATGTATACGCAATCAGTCAGTGTCAGTCAAAATACACACGCGAGTAGATAGATACATTTCTGGGACAAAGATACTGATTTTCCCCATTTTAAACAAATTAAGTAGCCAGTTTAGTAGCCAAATTGTATTTTTAGTAGCCAATTCAAAATAAAGTTAGCCAATGGCTACTTTGGCTACCGACAGCGCGAGCCCTAAGATTATGCCTAAATGACAGATTTGTTACATCAAAACTGTAATAAAAATAATAAAAAGTTATGGAGCAATTTCCAAACATGAAAATACTGAGAATACCGAGAAAATTCATCAATAATTGTGCAACCATAGCAGGAAGTGAACCTTTACAAATTACAGTGAAGTCTGGTGTTAAGGCCAAATAAAATAATATGTGTGTTTCCTATCACCATAATATTTTGACTTCAGGTAGGTAGGGAAAAGTTTTTATTTTACTAAAACATTTTTTTTTATTGTAGTATGAAGCAATGGCGTTGTATGCTTATTTGTTTTAGGTCTTCTGTATGTATTCCCACAATAAATGATACTACACCTTCAATTGACCTCTTATTTTTCAGGAAAAACCAGATCAAGCATGTATATAAAGATTCATTTGATAACCAGTAAACACCTGTGTTTATACAGGGGTAAATTGAATAAGACACCCTAGTACGTTAATATGTCAAAAGCATAAAGCAATACTGTTTTTTTTTACTAAATTTGTTTCAGTAAGCTTTTTCCTGTTTTCATTTAGATACAAAAATATCCATTTCTCATTTGGTATTAACTTAAATTTATTTTGATAATGAATTCTTAAAATTGAAATTGTATTAAATGTTTAATTGATTTTACCAGTAATTTGTCAGAATGTATTATTTTCATTGATTTAATAGCCAAATTGATTGAAATTGAAATTGAATTAAAATTCTGTAAATACTGTCATTGTTTTTGTCAAGTGGCCGGGCTACTACTGTTTTTAATCATTTGTGGGCAGTACTAGTCTTCACACATAGGTAGGACAGTTTTATATATATATATTTTTAAATCGAGTGAATCCATGAATTATTCCTCCAACAGTTACGCTCCCATCAACCTCAAACCTACCGACTCCAACAATGTTAAGAGGTTTTACATGGCGAGATATTTTTGACAGGCGCCGCCTAACTGCCCATAGCTGATTTTCCTGATGCTGACTATCAAATTTTTAAAGTTCGGATTTAGAAAAAGTATATCGTGTTTACATACATTTAAATGTTCAACAGTGTCCAATAAATATTCCTTTCCATAAATCCATAATTAAATGAGAAGAATTTCTATTCCGTAATACACTATATATTTGTATCGGTGGCATACATATGAGATCTATATTATATGCACCTTGAGTAGACATCGGTGTCATGAACTGTTAACCACCTAAGTGAGTTTTTCAAGCCGAATTTGTTCCGCCTCGATTTTTCGGGCGGAATCTGCATCTAAGAATTAGGCCTAGTGCTTCTGAAATAAGAGGTCCGAGTCAGCAAAATCATATCCGATAGAAAAAAGGACGTCCCTTGTTTTGTGATCTAACAAATAACCGATGTAAAATACCGCGATTACAGCTCGCCAAAATGAACCAAAATGAATTTTTCAAATTTTCATTAAAAAAATGTTTCAGGTCGGCGCATTTTTTTCCAGGTAGCCCGGGTGACCGGAAACACACATATTATTTTATTTGGCCTAAGGAACTAATTGTTCCCGTATTGGAATCTAAGTACAGTCGAATCTGCTCAAGCGACCATCTGTTTTATGCGACTGTCACCACATTTGACAAAGGGCTAATTCGTGATCTTTTCACAAAGTTCAATGAACAAATTAAAAAGAAACAAGAGATCCCAGAGGGAGCTTGGCACCCACCTTTGTACCATCTTCATTAGTTCTTTGTCAGTTCGATCTTTTCTCTTCTTTCCTCTAATCTGTTTGATCGAGTCATATTAACAGTAAATGCACCTTGAGGTAACTTTTGATCTAAACTTAATACTGATGTGTAAGAAAGCCAACCTTCAAAGTGAGTTTGTCATTTCACATATTTACTAGTACAGTACTTAATGTGAAAGAAATAGAATCGATCATTGCAATATGAGAAAGATCTGTTTAGTTCTTCTTTTAATCCATTTTGTTTTTATGATCAGTCTCAAAATATAACATACACAACGAGGGATCAAGGGGAACCTACATTTAAAATTTGAGAAAGATCCCTCCCGTACTTCC